GGGGGGGGGGGGGGTATGTACTGGGATGGAAGCGTTCTAAAAGGACAAGGACAGACGGGGACGGAGGATGATGATTACATCAATAAGGACGGAGGGCCGATGACGGCAGTGTACCCAGGTCGCGAATGGAGGTCGGAGGACGAAGCGGCAAAATAGCATCACGTGCTCATCTCGGCTTCCAACGGTCAAAGGACATCATGTGATCATTACCTGTTCTCATGAGGATGCTCCGCCCATCGTTCACCAGCTTCTTCAAAAAATAAGGACAAACCTCCATGTAGTAATACTGCCGGAGGTCCCTTTGAATCTCGTTCAGGTCAAACTTGTGTTTGATGGCGAGACCCTGCGGGCCCTCTACGGTCCATGTGAATGTATTCACGTCCAACAACATGACGTGCTCGTCCTCATATTTCATCTTTTCCCAAGCATCGACAGCATCGGTCTGGTCATCCCATTCGCAGCCAAACCTCGCCTGCCCAAAGTGGACACCTGAAAGGATGACAAAAGCGTTGGAAGGCAAACGGAAATCTGATCAGCGCCGAAAATGTCTACGAAAAGTAAAGCGTGAGAGAAGCGGACCTTCAGATTGGTTGAAAGCCTTTCTCACGGTTTCCAGCAAAGATCTGCCCAAATCCTCAACAATCATGGCGACGTTTCTCTCCCTTTCCCAAAAGTCTAGCTCGTCTGCTGTGGCTTCTCTCATCCAGTTATTTCTGGGTTCCAGAATCCTGCTCTTGCTGTCATAGTACATCACAGCAATGTCGTCGACATAAATGATACACATATGGTCTGGTAAGTTGGCAATTCCAGTTGAAACCGTGATGAATTTCTCTATTGAGTGGATTGCTGAAAGAAAAAACAAACAAACAAACAAACAAAACATCAACATGAGATTCAAACATCTATCTGGATTTCAAGAATAAAACAAAAACGCTCGCCATAGTTGAGTTCATGTCACTCTCAAATTCACGATGCTTGATCTACTTTGCCGAGGATCTTCTTTTGAGCTGACTTTTCTCCAACTCTCCATGAGAGCAGCCAAACTGGTCTGGACGGGATCAATAGGAAGTTGAATGCCTCGAATGGCGCGCCAAATAGCTTGCAGAGTCATTTTCTCC